CTATATATTTTTAGTTGTCTGATTAATTTCTTTCTATTTTTAGTAGAGGCGCGGTCTCGCTCTTGCTCAGGCTGGTTTCAAACTCTTGAACTCAAACAATCCACCCACCTCGGCCTCCCAGAGTGCTAGGATTACAGGCGTGAGCCACCGCGCCCGGCCTCCATTGAAGTCTTAAACCCCTCAAAGTTATCCATGAGAGTTAACCAACTTCTTCCAAACTCCTGTTAATGTTGACATTTTGACCTCCTTGCGTGACTCATGAATATTCTTAATGGCATCTAGAATGATAAATCCTTTCCAGAAGGTTTTCAATTTACTTTGACCAGATGCATCAGAAGAATCACTATCTTTGTCAGCTATATCCTTAAAAAATGTATTTCTCAAATAAGACTTGAAAGTTGAAATTACTCCTTAATCTACGGGCTGGAGAATGGATTTTCTGTCAGCAGGCCTGAAAACAATATTAGTCTTGTATCTCTCCATCGGAGCTCTTGGGTGACCAGGTGCATTGTCAATGACCAGTAATATTTCAAAAGGAATCTGTTTTCCTGAGCAATAGGTCAAAAATGGGCTTAAAATATTCAGTAAACCAGCTGGGCGTGGTGGCTCATGCCTACAATCCTAGCACTCTGGGAGGCAAAGGCAGAAGGATCACTTGAGGTCAGGAGTTCAATACCAGCCTTAGAAAGAGCAAGACCACCGTCTCTACTAAAAATAGAAAAAATTAGCCATGCATGGTGGCACGTGCCTGTAGTCTCAGCTACTGGGCAGGCTGAGGCAGGAAGATCACTTGAGCTGAGGAGTTTGAGGTTGCTATGAGCTAGGCTGATGCCATGGTACTCTAGCCTAGGCAACAGAGTGAGACTCTGTCTCAAAACAAAAAAAAAATCAGTAAACCATGCTGTAAACAGATGTGCTTTCATATAGGCTTTGTAGTTCCATTTATAAAGCACTGCAGGGTAGATTTAGCATCATTCTTAAGGGCCCTAGGATTTTCAAAATGGTAAATGTCTACTGGCTAAAACTTAAAGTCATCAGCTGCATTAGTCCTAACAAGAATGTAAGCCTGTCCTTTGAAGCTCTGAAGCCAGGCGTTGACTTTGCCTCTCTAGCTACGGAAGTACTAAATGGCATCTTTTTCCAATAGAAGGCTGTTTCATCTATACTGCAAATCTGTTGTTTAGTGTAGCCACTTTCATCAAAGATCTTAGCTAGATCCTCTGGATAATTTGCTGCAGCTTCTACATCAGTACTTGCTGCTTTCCCTTGCACTTTCATGGTATGGAGATGGCTTCTTTTCTTAAACCTCATGAACCAACCTCTGCTAGCTTCCAACTTATCTTGTGCAGCTTCCTCACCTCTGCTAGCTTCCAACTTATCTTCTGCAGCTTCCTCACCTCTCTAAACTTTCACAGAATTGAATAGTTCGGGCCTTCCTCCGGATTAGGCTTTGGCTTAAGGGAATGTTGTGGCTAGTTTGATCTTTCTGTCCAAACCACTCAAACTTTCTCCACACCAGCAATAAGGCTGTTTCGCTTTGTCATTCATGTGTTCACTGGGGTAGCACTTTTCATGTTCTTCAAGAGCTTTCCTTTACATTCACAACTTGGCTGTTTGGCATAACAGGCCTAGCTTTTGGCCTACCTTGGCTTTTGACATGTCTTCCTTAGTAAGCTTAATCATTTCTAGCTTTTGATTTAAAGTGAAGGATGTCTGACTTTTCCTTTCACTTGAACACTTAGAAGCCATTGCAGGGTAATTAATTGGCCTAATTTCAATATTGTTGTCTCAGGAAATAGAGATACCCAAGGATAGGGAGAGAGATGGGGGGATGGCTGGTCATTGGAGCCATCAGAACATAAACATTTATGGATTAAGTTCGCCCTCTTATATGCCCTGAAACAATTACAATTGTAACATCAAAGATCACTGATCATAGATCACCATAACAGATATAACCATAATAAAAATGTTTCAAACTTTAAACGTTTAAGAAGTGAGCACATGCTTAGATAAACGGCCCCAAAAAACTTGATTAACACAGGAATGCCACAAACCTTCAGTTTGTAAAAAAACACACTATCTGCAAAGCACAATAAAGCAAAGCACAATAAAACAAGGTATGCCTATAAATGCCTTCTTCATATTTTCTTTAACCATGGACATACCTTCAAACCCATTCTCTTTAGATCCTGAATAGCCAGTGGTGGAAAATAATCAAGCCAATGTTCTGCTTCAGAAAATTTTACTATCTCTTCTTCAGACAAGCCAAGGGATTTCATAATGCTCCACTGGTATTTAGAAGATCCAGCTTTAGCAGTAGCTTTACTCTGAAAATAATGGACAAAAACTTCATGAAATAATAACCAACAACTACTTAACATTTTAGGACTATAGTAATTTTAAGTGAATAATCCCATTTGTACTTTTTTAAATTCTAAAACAATGCTGTTAATACATCAGAATACTGAAGAAGTCAGGTGTACTATTTTGTCTGCCAAACTGTATAGTCAGGATATTCACCAGGATACTGACACCAATGATAACTAAATGGATGGATCCATAAGGAACTACCAGTCGTGAAGATGGCAGTACCAAACCTTCTCTGTTTCCTTTCTTCTAATACAACATGCATCTTTTTTACAGAGTTTCTTTCTTTTCCAATATTTACTAACACCAAAAAGACAATCAAATGCAAGGGACTGAAGGTAAGGAATGGGGCTAAACTATAAAACCATAAAGATGCAGCACAAGAGATTCTGGGGGGAGATATTACTGCTCTATGTGTTACTGTGCTCCAAATGACTCCACGTATTTGTCAAACCCACCAAACTACACACTATAAAGTGGAAATTTTACTCTATGTAAATTTTTTAAAATTCAACAAGAATTTTGGAGGAACTTAAGATATACTGCAGACTATGATAAATGTATCTCACTGTATTACAAATATATGACATAACCACACTAAAGGAGGAGGGGGAGAAAGGAGGTGATTTAAGTAATTTTGGAAAACAGTGTGTTGACTAGAATCTAAAGACAAAAAGAACTATACACAAACACTGTACTTTAGTTGGTAAAACTCCTTCTCCCAGGGATGTAGGTTACCAATGCTGAAACTACTTTAGTAGAGTAGGATTGAACAAATAAATAAATATACTGTCGATAACAAGAGGCAAATTACTGTTGTAATTAAGAAGTCACAAATAAACAAAGGGAAAAATGCTAAAATGAGACCCATGGTGCTAAAATGGAGCCAGGGTATCAGTATGAACTTATCTG